AGCATATCATAGTTGATGGGTTCTGCTGTTGCTAAACTAAGTTCACGCTGGCGTGGGTTTCGCATGGTTGGTTAAAAATTATTGTTCATCCTTCTGACGGAAAACTGCATGGGACATTTAGCTTGGCAATGAAGTTTTTTTTCGCTAGGTGGCTAGCCCTTTAGGTTTTGCTTCTGAGTTTAACGGTTCGCAAGCAATAATTAGCCAAAGATGGATGCTATTTCTTCAATGCCAAATCCGAAACGTTAACTACTTTGATAGTCTTCTTATCGCGGTTGCATCTGTCTGTGTTTCCTTCCTGACTGAGGTCCCAGAAATCCCCCTCTTGTCCTTGAAGAAAAAGCTGGACTGACTATTTTTCGTTTATTTTTCGTCTGGGTTCTTCCCTTCTTGTTTTCCAATCTGATTCCTGACCTCCGAGTATTGCTCTTTTCACTCGCGATTTTTCGTTTTTCATATTACACGTGTGATTGTAGCCCTTGACTTCATCAGCATCCTGACCCTTGTCAACCAGTAAGCCATGGCTAATGCTGGATTGCTGGTCTCTCCTGCGTCTTGCTAGAGCGATTTTCCCCGTCAATAGTAAACATTTTCTTGATATGTTAACTGTGTGCGAATGAGTGGCCCACTCATGCGATCAGCTCTACGCTAGATAACTACAGTGAATTAGCAAATACTAAATTATCGGTAGGCAAGAAATGCGGACGCCCTTCTTCCCTTCTTGGAAGCGTCCGCCGTCATAAAATGTGTCATGTTTTTGCCGTAGTTGGTCGACAGACTGTCGTGTACGATGCTGTGCCATTATCAGTAGCATCTAACCAGCGTGCACTGCCACCTGTACACAAACCACTGAACTGAACTTGCCATCACCAGAACGTTCCTTTTCCCGTTCGAAATACAGGCCGTACTATCAACCGTCTTCCCTAAATGATCGCTTTGGGAAATTCAATGGTTTAATTAGTGGGAGTAGTTGATCCCGTAAGCTGTATTACGTACGATCGTTTTTTATGCTCGAAAATGTGACCCGAATAAGTGTTTTCTCAAGTTACCTAGTGTTACAATGACCTAGAGTCCACCGCGTGAAGAAAGGTCCGTTTCAGTCAACCACGAAGTAGTTACCATGACAACAAGTAAATAGAGTCTTCTGGTTAAACTGTTCGCTCTGTCCACGGGTGTGGCCAAACCTTACGCTTTTGGGCGTACCCAATGGCAGCATACTTGCACATTTCAC